AAATGGGTTTGCAACCTTAAGTTTGCAAACCTAGAGCACACGTAAACCAGATGCCTGTAGGTTTAAGAATGCCATTTGCAGCAAGATAAAGGTTTTACCTATGTAGAATCAGTGTGTGCACATGTACACAGAAGAGACTGTGAATCTAACAGCATTTTTAGATATTCAGCATTTGCCTTTTCTATAGACACTTTCTCAAAAGCACACCGAAGTGATGCAGAGGACTCCAAAGAGCTCTTTCCTCCAAAGCGTGTCGGTCGGCTAGAAGAGATACTTCAAGTCCACCAGCACTGCATACCTGCTTCTTTCAACAGCCCCTGCTTAGGAAAACTTTTGTGAGGAAGAATGCCATTGAAATTGTAAAAAAATAACCATACATATAGATAAATTTATACACTTTTTATAGAAGGACCCAGTTCCACAGAAACACACTTCAGTGGATAAATAGGATGGAGGATGCAAAGATTTCATCCAAGACCTCAGACCTGTGCCTGACCTGGAGTATTTGCAAGCTTGTGCATTGCAGTAATTCTGTTTGCAGCCATCGCACATCAGCTGTGCATGCTGATCCTGGATTTGTTTTGACCAGTTTATGTTTTTATTAGTACAGTTTGCTTAGCTTATTGGAGACTGCTCTAGTGTGGTACATCCCAAACACCTATCAGTGTAATAAAACTGAATGAGAGCCACTCCCATTTAATCAGACCTGTATGAGGGAAAAGGTAATCCAACAAACACGCACGCAATGTCAAGGTTTCAACTGATGTTAAGCAAGAGTTAACAGATATGTGTTTCTAAACTCCAGTGCAGAAGCTTCCTTACACAGGCTAAATAAAACTGCAAGCCCAAATACATCCTCAGGTGCATCTACACAGTCCCACATCTCTCCCCAGTAACAGCTGTGTAAAGTCTATTAGTCTTTTGGCTTTAACATCTATGTGACTGTACGATAAACCTTAGACAAATTATTTTCTTCTTTTTTTTAATTTGCAGATTGCTAAAGTTGGTTGTTGTTTTTTTTCCCAGTAGGAGAAGTGCAGCTCTGAAAGTAAATTTAAGCCTGCTATCAAACCCACTTTTCTTAGTTACTTTTCACAGAGGCTTAGAAGCCATGTGAGGAGTCCCCAAGATCTGAGCATCACAAGCTGAAAATCTCTATTTTAGACAATGCAGCTGCACGAACCGCAGTTTGGATAATAGGGACTTTGTTACTGGTTGTCACGTAGATAGCAGAGAGAACCCTCTTTGACCTTCCCAGCCCAGGTTAAGATTTTTAAGTGCTAGCAGCTAGAAAACCCACTCCATTTTTACTTGGAAACTGAGCAAGAAAGTCTGTGAACGTGAAGCTTTTCTCACTGCCTTCTCCATTGATTCACTCTTCAGAACCAAACTGAGCTTTGAATTAATGCACAAATCTGACAAAGGACAAAACAACATTTAAATTACCGTTGATAAATACCCAGCCAAAAGTAATTACTTCTTCTACTGTGGCTCATTAAGAAAGTGTTCCGTTAAAGCTGTAGAGTTAAATAATGAAGGAGATGACAGAGTTAAGGTTCAGCGTGCTACTGCGCAACTGTGAACATGTTTGTAAAATGCCCAGATAGCATTTTCAAAGGGCTGGATCTTTCTCTCTATATTTCCTGCCTACTTTAGTTCTTCCTAACATCTCTTTAGTGACAAAGAGAATCTTGATATTTTTGCCTGGCTGGAGCTGGAGGGAATGAGGCAGGCCATGAAAGGTTGCAGGGAGATGGTAAAAGGGAGAAGTAGCACTGGATTTCAGAGGACTTAAGCTGAACACCACCATGGCTACTGTAGCTGAGCTCAGAGTGCAAGAATATGTGCAGAGGATGGGTTTGAGCTGGGAGTGTTATAGGGGGCCGGATATTGGGCTGCAGAAGGAGCTCAATGCCATTATTTAAAATATGAAGGTTAGAGCAGAGGGGTGATCTAAAAATGCTGGATAACACCAATATGACCACTGACTGAATTCACATAATCGAATTCTGTTCTGCATTATGGTTTTGGCTAGGTACCACAGCCCCATAACCCTGTTGCTACAGTAAGGACAGAGAGCGATAACTGATAGAATATCATCTTGCTTAACAGCTTGGCTTGATTTCTCCCATTGTGCTCAATTTTCACATTGCAATATCTCTGTGATAACTAGGCATAAATGGACAGTGCTAAGCACCGAGCATCACTGATTACTTAGTAGAGAAATAACTCGTGTGATCGTGTCCCACCACCAGCCCACAGAGTTCTACGCTTCTGGCGTACTCATTTCATACACCCTGTTCATTAATTTATCATGATTCATCTTTCAAGTATTTAGTCAGTTTGTTCTTGCCCCCATTACTCCTATTGGAAAGCTGTTCCAGAAGCCCAGAGCTGTGATACTGGGAACCCTCCTATTTCCAGCCTGAAGTTATTCATGGCCAGTTTATACTCATGCTTCTTATTCGATTCTGCAGGTGGAGAGTAAAGAGTCACAAAATACAATCCATGTTCTCAACAGGCCAGTATTTTAAAAACACCGTACAGCTCTTAGCCTATACCTTTTGTTAGGCAGCCTCAAACTGGTTTAGAAGCCTGCAGCAGATTTCTTATGGCCTTTAGCGAAAGAAAGAAGAACAGAAGTGTGATGCTGGTTGCAATGATCCATGCACGGCCTTAAACAGCCCAGGTATTTTGCTCAGTGGAAGTGTGTTGAGGCTAAGATTCTTAGGATTACATGAATAAAGCATATGGAAAACTAACTTTCAGGAAGCAAACCCTCTGTATTAGTTACATAGCTTTGTCTGTCAAAAACCAAGAGTGATCTCCAAATGAGAGAAGCTGCTACAAATTTCAGGTGATACAACTGCCCTGTTTCCATTTCAACTGGAAAAGCCTACTGACCTTGCTGGCTCTAACATTACCTGAGGTGAGACCAGAGGAGATACAGTGTTGGGTCAATAGATACTGATACCTGTGAATCCAATACTGATACCTGTGTATCTAATTCAAGCGTTTGCTTTCTGAAACTGTATCCACCCGCATTGCTTTTTATTAACAGGCCATTATGAACGTGCCTCTGGCAAATTCGCTGCTAATGGAAATGTAAACATGTCCCTTGATACCCTCTAAAATGATTTATAAAGAATGGAGAACGATCATGGGACATGTGGCAGCAAATAGGTCAGAAGCAGTGGAAAAAGCCACTTGCCCAACACTCCCTGCCAGTAACAGGCTAGTGTGTCCCAAGCCCCTTTGGTAAGACAGAAGTCCTTCCATGGCCAGCTCTGGAAGTACAGGTCACTGTTTTTAGGAGCATTTGGCTCTGCAGTCAGCCTTTATTCTCCTGCGAGGCAGGGACAGCTCTCCTAGCAACTTTGCAGGAGATGCCGTGGAAAGGACTCCATCCACAAGAGCAGAGGAGTGAATTACCTCTTTTAATCCACCAGACAAAGCCTGCACCCTGCTTGCCACCAACACTGCAAAAAGAGGTCACCTGAAGAACTGTTTCAGGAGCTGTTGCTGGATGCCATGTCTTCTTTGTCCACGCTAAGAAGTATCTCTGGATCAATGTCAACCAGTTTTCCGGGGCTTCGGTCTAACTCTGGGTCTCAGGAAGACAGAACGTATACATTAGCCTGATCCTGACAATCTTTAGGGGACACCACACATATCCAATGATGATTAATTCCCATATGCAATAGAAAAGTTCATGTAAGCGGGAAATTTTGTGGAGAGGGGGCGTTCTTAGAGATTAAATAAGCCACTGACTACCCAAAGCTTGCAAGGCTTTTGGGAAAACTCTGCTTAAATTGGGGGGGGGGGAGCAGATTGGGAACAAAACTTTTTGTCTACAAGGCAAGAGTCACGACATTCCTACTTTATATGCATCATATTTGGACAGCCCAGAGCTACTAAATTAGGGAACTCTATCAATTCTGTCTAAGTTTCCTCAGAGAATTTGCAGGAGACATAAGGCAGGAGAAAGTGAAGTCCAAGGATATAGACAATAAGAGCAAAAACATAACTGAATGTCCTGTGGTGAAATTAAATTTGATAAACTCTCAGCTTAAAAGATAGAAAGACACCCAGCCAGAAATATGTATTTCCACTGACATACAGAAACACGATGGTATGACAGAGAAAAAATGTTTCAGAAGACAATTTATTTATGGCTTAACGACATTTAAACCAACTATTATTAAGTTAGCTGAAATGAAAAAGAAATCACTGGCAAATTGGAAAGGAACAACCCCTAGGTCAATCTGACAAATGTGTTATCCTGCATGTGGGAAAACATCCCTTGCAAAATTTGAACTTCACAGCTGGATGAGAACACATAAGCAAATTTAATGCAGAGCATAAACGGTTGGTCATCACCATCAACAACAATGTACAATCACAGCACACCATGTAAATGAGAAACGACCGGCCTCTCTCCCTTCATTTAAAGCTGCATGGAAATACAGATTTACCACCAAAACTAGGGTGTCTCCGTTTCATGCCGAGCCAAAGCTTTCTTGCAGATCTACTCAAAGCTACTTGACGTACCGTGTTTGAAAAGGGTTAAATGGCAGATCCTAGAATCCCCTCGATCTCTCCATAGCCTCTGCCTAGAAGCATTGCATTTCCATTTGAACTACAAATGACCCTGTACACACAATCATGTAATTCATATTTATATAAACAGAGGGTACAGTATGTATAATTTGAAAGATTTCTGGGAGGGGATGCATCATAACTAAACTCCTACTTTTCCCTTGGGGAAACAATCCCATTTGGTTTTAGTTAACTTCAAAAGAGAAAAGTATTTTCCCTTCTGTGTCAATAATTTAACAGAAATTTGTCATTTCTGTCCACAAATCAAGCTTTCAGAGTTGCCCTAACTGTTAGCAGTAAAGCAGCGACACACACACATGCAAGCGCGTCCCCCCCCCCCCCCAAACATACAGAGCACAACAACTGCAACACAATAAAATGCTCCTGCAGCAATTTCTAACCATGGAAATTGAGCTTAGTTTCACTGAATTGCCAGAAACCTCTCCACACTGGGGAGCTGTATTTCCAAGCACATACCATGGGACCAGGACCTTTGGTGACATGTTGTTCCAATTTGATTGAGGTCGGGTTGTGAGCCAGCCCTTTCAAATCATAACCAGCACAGAAATTACCTCCTATGAAACATCGCGGAAAAGTGAGACTGTGCAGCAGAGAAACCCAGGAAAGCTTCATTTTGGGGTCAGTGCAGCTTTAAGCATCGTTAACATTTTTTTTCCCTCAGAGGTTGTCCAAGAGCTGTTTTGAGGGAGGCTGAAAGGACACTGTTTGCTTTTATTTGGAAATTTATGTTGCTCTGATTACCTAATTCAGAATTTGGGGGAGAAAAAAGTATGAACATTTGAGGCAACAGATTTGGATTAGAAAACTTTACATATAAATCTTAGGCAGTCATCACTTTTTTCCAACCCATGCGCTGTCTGCAGCACAGAGCTAGGAAGGCACTATTTTCAAAAGGAATGAATAGGAAAAGTGCAGCGATGTCTATTGTCTATAATAAAGTGCACAGTTTAATTCACAGCGAGTCAAACTCTCCCAGTGTTAAAAGTCTGCAAATACATTACCCAAGCCACGTAGGAGCTGCAGCTCTGCCTCAAAGGGAGCAACTTTAACCCTGGATGACGCCAGGTTGATATTCACATACTTTCAGATCCCTGGCTGTCAAAGCCTCAGCGTGGTCACTGTGCATCGTTTGCAACCGAGCCCAGCTTTCTCCAGTCATTTGCTTCTCTGCAGAAGGGGTTACTAGCAGCTTCCTCGCTTGTAAAACTGGTTTTAGGTCAGACTACAGCATTTCATAATGGATTATAATGTTTGATAGACCGGTTCAAACATAGTGAAAAAACCTAACAGCTAGAAATATGTTCTTAAGTACAGGCTAATCATGCATCCTGCTTTCAAGTGTTTTAGTTTCATTTAGGAATTAGTTGAATTATAAAATTTAACGGGGCTTTGGGCCCTATAAACAAGTAACATTTAGAGATATAGGGCCAGTAGATTGGGGCAGTTTCCTTGACATATCATTGAGATTACACTAATTTAAACTATCTGAAAATCTGCTCAGAAATTAAGACATTTAAATGGGAAGTAATGGTTCCAATACAGCTCTCTCTTCCAGCTGTATAAAACATAAGCAAGAGAAGACAAAGTACTCTGTTCTTACTTTCATTAATGCCTGTTTACACCATTGTGGAAATTCGAAGGTCCTTACAAAGGTATAACTTATATCTCAAGACGGCAGGGAAAAGTCATAGGATATTCTGAGCAGCTTGCAGCAGCACTCCATTTCTCACCAACAGCACTATGTGCTCAGTAACATCCATTTCCGCAACACTGCAATAGGCTAAATGCACACCTGAGATTTTTTTTACATCTATTAACTAGCTTGTTGCAGATCTAGTGAGTGGTAAAGCACTAGTGGCTATAAAAGAGGGCAGAGGAGAAAGTTGTGCAGACAACCTTAATTCTTCTCTCACAGCCTAATAGTTCCTCTTTCCACTCCTCATTTTAGTGCTCTGTAACCCAACGCAGCGATGAGGGGACAAGCCTCTTTCCTACTGTGGGTTTGCCAGACGCTCGCCACCTCCTGAGGGCCTTTCTCATCACATAAGCGTGTGCCTCAGCATCTGTTAGGGGAGTCATGAATCGCAACTCCTGAACTTTTAAACGAACACCTCTGCTTTCACCCCCGGCAAACAGCTCTATCCGTGGGGCTAAGAAAAGTTTTGCGCAAGGCCCTGCTCTGGCAGCAGTCAGCATATCCCCTCAAGTACAGAGATGTGCCAAGCTATACCAACAGAAAATGTGGCCCACTGCTTTGCAAGTGGACAGGTTGGAATCTGTGATCTGAACAACACAGGGATGGATGATGGGTGGAAAAAAGCACGTCTCTCCGGAGAACGGTAAACCCATCCAAAGAAGTTCATTCACAGATAAATGGCATTCTTCCTCTTTGTTGGGATCCCTACTGCTCAGCTAGTGCAGGTATGGTAAAGTATTACAATGAGAGAAGAGAGTGAAGTATGTCATCTTCCCCCAAGGAAGAAAGCACCCTTTCCAGACAAGCACGCGTAAAGGAAAGCCAAAGGAAAGAAGCCTACAAAGACTGAATGCCTGACGCAAAGTGCTACCAGCTTATGGGGCCAGCTAAAGCCAGGTTACAAACAAGGATACAAACAGTTGATTGAATCTGTTAAAATAAATTAAAAAAAAAAAAAAGTGTAGATTGAGGTTGAAGCTTTGTCACTGTACGTATGACACCAAGAAGAGAAGATGAAAGATTTTGTTTTCCTGCAATGGGAGCGATGTAAAGCCGTGTCGCCTCACAATGAATGACGAGGGATGTTCTGCTCCAGACAGGGATTCTCCTGGAAAGACAGTATGTTGACTCCTAATGAGGTGTTTTGCCTGCCAATAGGTTAAGAATGAATTCATGCCTTTGGACTATCTTCTGAACCTTTCTTGGGCAAGTTGTGAAAGATGAGGATGTATTCCCCTGAGCATAGGTAAAGGCCCTTATATTGAAAGTAGAAAAACACATACAAAAATGTCGTGCTGGTTCTTTATACTTGAGGTGGTCAAAACAGAGTTCAAAAATGTCCTTGAAAGAAGAGAAAAACATCTCAGCACACAAGTTAGTCCCAGTGCTGTGGCAGATTAATAAATGTATATGCAAATCTCTCATGAAACCACTCTTTGGAAGACATTAAAAAGGAGCACTTCATGAACACTGAGAGTCAGCAACAGCTGTATAAACCTAAACGCCCACCTGCATCCCAAACTGAAAACAAATTAAAAGATAACCAAGATTTTTTTCACCCACAAATGCTAAAGAGATGCTGATGCAAAACTAACTTTTTATTCAAGCTTACAGTATGAAGGAGGTGAAGAAAATATCAGGTGTAGAAATCTAAAAAAGGAAAAAAAGAAAAAAAGGAAGAAAAAAGTTTCATAAATGGTTGAAAGAAATAATGCATATTCTGGCTAAAAGAGTCTCCAAGAACTACTGTTCAAGAGTAGTAAATCTGTGTCTGTGAAAGGCACATGATAGGGCTCAACTATTGCAGTTAAGCAGGTTTAAAAATGACTTTATCTGAAGTAGGCTCTAGGGCTACTAAGCTGCGCACTGTGGGCCAGACCTAATAATGTTCAAACGCATGTTCTAGCCAGGGCCTTTGAACTTTTAAGATTCCTGGGGACATACAGGATCAGGTAAAACACACAGTTATATATTCCAAATCAAGAGTCAATACAGAATATGGTAGCACTTATGCAGGAAAGGAATGATTCACTTTCCAGTACTGCATCCAATGAACCACAGAATATAACATTTTTTTATTTCTTGGTGGTAACTGTCAAAATGCATTTAATTTTGGGGGAGATGAAAAGGGAATGCACAAAGAAGTGTAGAATAATTATGTGTTGAAAATTAAACCCAGTTGTCTGAACCGGGAAGAACAATGTAATGTACCAAAGGAGGTCTAAAATGTTTTGGCCAACAAACTTAGAGGTCATCCAAGACGACATATTTTGTGAATGAGAGGCAAAGGCAGTTCTCTGTAGCGCGCTCCTCACCTCCGTTCTTGAATTAAGATCTACATTTAACACCGTAGAATTCATAGTTTAGCGGCATAGGGCTGCTTCTCTCACACCTATCCAAAAACAGCGGGTAACGTCCAAGGACACAGAGGCAGGCCCAATTTTTTAGTTCATGGATGCGTGTATGTGCAGGACTCCAGAAAGAGATTTTAAAGAACAAATTCCCATCCCAGAGTGGCATGAAAGAAGGAATTGTCTTCCAGCTGCAGACCAACAGCAATGGCAGAGTTGGAAGAACTTCCGAAACTCAACCTCTCCAGGATGTCTGTGGAGCCAGGGGTCTACCGGCAAAACTTTTAACTCCCAGTCCCCATCCTTAACAAACCTGCAGGAGGACAGGCTCTGTAGGGCCCAAAGGGTCCGCGTCCACCATATGGAACACCTGAATTACAGTCTAACACACAGTTTCGCTGCCAGAAATTCCTGCTACCCCTCCTAAGAAGCAGTGGGAAAAAATGATTGCCACTGTGGAGCTTCCATGCAAAAACCGTGTCTCCCTGAAAGGTAGAGGAGATACCAAATGTCTCAGTGCTGCAACCATTGGCGCTGTGAGAAGACTAGAGAGGTCTAGCATGCACTCACTGTGATTAAGACATTGCTTCCCAAAAAGCCAATATAACAATTAAATGAAATAAGATGCTTGGCGTGCTGATGGTGAAGATTCTTGCCTATCAGCAAGATATCAGCATTGCAGTGATGATTTTTCTGGTAATCTGTCCCACGTTCTTTTCTTGCACCCTGACTGATTATGCCCTGAAGAGCTACCACATTCCACAAAGACGTGTCATTGAAAAGAGAACAAGCACAGAGCCAAAGCAAGCCTTGCAACAACTGGTGCCAAGATGAAGGGGTACCCAAAGGGAGGTTAAGCAAATGATGTAATTTGAGCGTTTTGGACAAAGGAGGATGGTATGTGCTTCTCCAGGCTGTGTAGATACCACAAAATGCAAAGGGAGACTGCAGGCATGTAACTGCCACGTGCCCTGCACTTTAAGGATGGATACACGGAATAAAAAGTTTAATGTATTTCCAGAGAGTTTTGACAGCGTATGCCAGAAATACATCCCCTCCTAATCCACAGCCATATTTCTTCATCACTGGGGGTATACCTCCTCTGTCCATGCAACCAGGCCAGACAGAGAAAACTATTCATTTTTGGGTGACTGAGGTATTGTTATTTTTAGGTGCTGCAAGAAAACTCAGCTGCTGATTAAACCACACTGATGGAAATCAGAACACAGCATTTACTTTAATACCAGACTGTATGACAACACAAAAAAATTATCTCCAAAACATAAAAGGAAAGCAGGAATTTCCCTTGTACAGTTTAACAGACAGAATCACTGTGAAAGGCTGCAAAAATCAATGTTACAATTTTCTCATTTTAGTTCATTTGTGTGCTATATATAACTCACACGTATGCCCCCAAAAAATAAAGCTGTAAATCACACACAAGCCCCTTTCTTTTTTCCATTTTTTTCTTTTTTTAAAGTTTGTTACAATAATTTTCATGAATTTGTAGGACTTACAATACCGCTGCTTCCAATTCCTTCCTTTCACCTCTTTTCCCTTTGGATAAGGAGTGGCATGGCTTTGTAATTACGTACATATTAGTATTGTTATCATGCCATAAGTATTATAAAATAGAATAACCAACAGTCTGGAAACTGAGAAAAAAAGTGAAGAGTTAAGCTCAGGGTGAAGTTTTCAAAAACTACTTGCCATTCCCAGTGTTTTTGTTTCAGAATGCTCAAGTTAAGGTATTTTGAAAGGGTTTGGATTTTTTTCTGAATAGGTGGTCAGTACTTCTTTGCGTTACACCCCTGTGAGGTATCTCGGGCCACGTTCATTCAGACGCTGCGAACGGTTAAAGGCTTTCTCTACCTCACTCCAAGGATGCCAGCAACCATCCCAAAGGCATACAGACAACAGCCCTGCCTGAGCCAAAAGGTCATGCTGACTGGCTAGTTTAAAGCAGAAGCAGAGCAATTTTGCATTTGTTGACGTCAGACTGTGTAAGGATGCCATCAGCTTAGGCACTGCAAAACCTAAGAAAGTGTTTCCCACAAAACAAAACAAACAATCAACCTTGTGACTTATTTTTTCGGAAGCAGCTGGTCACATCGGGAGCACAGATTTTTTTTTCAGAGAATATGATGTCATTCTGAATAACAGGCGTATCTGTGTTTTTCAATATTTTGGGTTTAACTAGCTTTGCAGGGAAAAAAAAAAAGATATCGTGAATCACACTACGGAAACCATGAGACATGAGAGCAGAAGACGACAGCTAAATTCATAGAGGCTGTTACTCTACGGAGGTAAATGAAGATATTGTCTATAGAAATTTGGCCCAGCTTATTTTTCTTGGAGTGAAGGAACAAAACTGTCCCAGGGCTGGGAGGGGAGCTGTTCTTCCTGAAGCTCCAGGCCATCTCCTCTGACACTCATGGGATGATAAATCAAAAGGCTGATACTCTCATCATTTTTCTGTGTCTTTGAGAAGTAGGATGACTTACATGACAAGCGTATTCCTTGCTAGTCGCTATACAGCCACATGTATGACTTCAGTTCGAATAAAAATCATAGAAAAGCTAAGGTTCCAGGAGGTTGCAACCAGCAGGGTGCTCGTATCTGCAATTACCAGGTAATAAGGTATTATACAGTTGGCTACATTCTTTTTCGGCATAAATCAAAGTAAAGACAGACCAAGTTGTCACTTGTTTTTTCATTTGATTCACTAAATTTAGCAAAACAAACTTCACTGGAGAAGACTAGCTTGCAAAAGCCTGGCCATCTCCAAACTATAATGTTAGGCTGGGTGTTCGAACCGCTTCTTCCCTGAAATACCTGTTTTCTCTCAAAAACAACAGGAAGATTGGATTTAGACTTTTCCAGGTCAGAAACACCAAGTGAGTCCCACTCATTTAGTTTGTATTTTTAAAGTGTGTTGAAAATCCACCATATAAAAATGAATTACTCCATTTTTATTAATGGTATTTAAAAGGCTAATAATCAATGTTTGATACTCTAGGGTGCAGAGCTTATGCATATGTGCCTATATGCATTACACGTATGTCCATGTGCATCTCTCATAGTATTTTAAATTACAGAAAAGAGATTCAAATGCTAACTTAGTTAATTTGGGGCAGAATGTGCCTTCAATTTACTCTCTCTGCATTTACAGCAGTGATAAAATCAGCTCTGAAGCTGGACAGTTTCTAAGGTAAACCAGAGGACAAGAGCATACATGCAAAAAAGGAAGTCAATATAATAATAAGCGCAATTAGTTATAAGTGCTGGTCCTACTGAGCCAAATGCAAGGTGTCATCGCTAAGATTTTACCCTGCAAATGTAAATAACTGCCTTTGAACTAAAACTGCAGGAACTGTGGCAAGCATTCTTAATATTTTAATGATAAACAATAGATACAAATGTTCCCCACCTAGACAACGGCAGGGCACTTGCTTCTAATTAGCAACTAATAACTTCTCTCTCTGTTTTGCTATCTTTGTTTGACAATTCACAGAAGTTCTTTCATATGTTCTCTGAAGTGGGGTGCAGGGTTGCGGTTTCCAGAGCTGGGTTTTATGTATCACCTGTCCACTATTCCGCTGCTAAACTTTCAAGATAGATGAATATCGTATGAATAAGCTGGACACATTAAATACGTGCACGCT